CATATTGGGTCTGTTATTCTGCGCCGTTCGAAAGGATCATTTTCCCATTCTCCTTTAGCAAGCAAAAATCAGACAGTAGTACCTTTTGGCAACTGGGGTTCATCAACACCTATTGAGTGATTATATTTTACTGATGGTTTGGAATACACCCGTTCAAGTTTCATAGCGTCATTAGGTCTCATTCCAATTAATTGAGTTGGACTATCATTCATGTTATCAACAATTCTTCTCGCAAATCGTTCACATTCCCTGCAACGTTCGCCAGTAGGTAAGAGAAACTCTACTGAATACTGATTTTTAAAAACTCTATATTCGAATAATCCAGCATAATAGCCAAGCTTGTATGTCTGAAACGTGCTATAATTCTTCAGATTTCAACGCCATGCTCATCCATTAATAAAGTCACATATCCCATAAACTCAGTGCCCTTATCGCATTGTAAATTTCGAGGCCAGTTGAGAGGCTTATTGGGATTATCATATATACTCTTAAATGCTTCCGCAATTTCTTCACTGCTCTTTGATGTTAAAAAAACGAAATCTTTATATCTAGTCGCGCAGTCTATAACTAATAATACATAGTAGAATACTGGTCTGCTATCCAGTAAATCTGTTTCCATATCATCGTACGGAATTTCAATCAAATCACACTGGTGAACAGTATTTGGTTTCGTAATTTTAGAGTAGCTGGAATAGGGTATATTTTTCGGTGAAAGGCGGTAGATTTGATCCATCGCCTGACCATCAAGCCATTTTTTTACATCAGTAAATGGAAAGCTGTAGCTGGCTTTTTTACAAGCGTCCCATAATCCCTTAGCATTTTGATAAAGACCCTCAGAATGATAATATAGTTTTTGCAAGGCAAGATGCCGGTCTAAATCATGAGCTTTTGAGGATCGATATTAATTGTAGGTATTTGTTTTGCTATGATTTGGTCTAGCTTTCCCGCTTTCTGAGGATCGATATAAATAACTAGTTTTTCCATTCCAATTTTTTATAATTACGAAAAAAAGTTAGTATCCTATGAAGTTAAATTCTACTCATTAGCTGAGGCACTCTTTTCCCTGCGCTTCTGCCTAGCCTCTATTTCCTTTTGCAGGTTTAGTGGAGTGTCAAACCTTAGGCGGATTGCAAGGGGATCATCTTCAGGCTTATCTAGGTCAAATATGATAAATTCACCTTTTCAGAGGTAGCTATTAATGACCATCGATGCATTTTTTACATCATCAGTATAACGACCAGCTATCTTGGACACATCTTGATTGCTACCGCCCCCATTAAACATCACTAGATGGGAGATATTTTCACGAATAATAATAGGAACTTTATGATAACATTGAGTTACATAAATTGGAGAAATATTTCGATGGCGCCCATGTGTAAAAAATGGAATGATTCGATTTTGAATGGACTCAGGGGCCATACATAAATCCTCAAAGATGATTACAGTACTCCTCTCTGGTGAAAAGGATTTTACGCTAGGGATACTTTCCGGTGATATGTAGCTAAATCTGATATTTTCGTAATAAGGCGCTTTAGAATTACTTGCAATCAATCTATACATGTATCTAACAAATGCCCATTTTGGTTCATCAGGATGGTAACCACAAACTATCAGATCATCACATCTAATATATCGGGATCCGCCCTTTTGTCCTTTATATATATGTTCGCCCTTATTTCCAAGAATAAAGTTTTCAGGTAAATTAGTCTTACCTGTACCACTTCTCCCTGTGACCAGCTTAGCAAATGTTCATGACATTGCTGGATGCCCAACATTTCGGGATGATTCGTGCTTTGTAGCCTCATCCATATCCATAAGGTAAAGTTTCATAGGAGGCAGTCCTGTCTTTTGGTTATTCTGCATATCGGATCGGGAATCCATAACTCTGATTTCTATTTAAGGGTATTTTATAGTTCGGAATATTTTTTTCTTCATTGTAAGGTGAA